GYTAATAATCATAGAGCCCAAGCATTAGTCGAGCGCGCTAATCGAACCATTGYTGAGAAACTATTTAGTCATCAGTATGCACAGGAAATGGTAATGGTTAATAATGAAAGATCCCGTGAATGGGTTGAACGTTGAACGACTACCAGCTGTCATACGTAGTATAAACAGCGGAGTAGAGAGAATARCTGGAAAAGCACCGATTGATGTAATAAAATTAAAAAAGGTAAATGAAAATCATGTGAATTATAAAAGACCTGTTGGATTAGATGAAACCCGTCTTCCTCCAGGTGTAAAAGTTAGATATTTATACTCTTCAGGTGAGTTGGAAGGTGGTGATAAAAGAGCTACAGATCCTATATGGTCATTAAAAAATATATGACATATCTAAGACTGTTGTTTCAGYTAATCAACCTGTATTGTATTACCTTTCTGAGGGTGCACCGAAAAGAAATTTCGTCAGAGAAGAATTACAAGTTGTATCTGAAGATACTCAATTTCCACCTGATAAGCTTTTGAATTAACTTTTGTAACTAATATTTTTATTAATGATAATTACCTCTCATAATAGTCCAACCTTTTTCATTTTAATGAATTAAAATTCTATCATATTCATCAATAGTCCAATGAAACCTTTGTATATATTTGCCTTGATCAAAATCATAAATACCATCTTCAATATCTCTATAACCAATGGCATTAATATTATCACCGTGTATATTACGTTTATMATCATCTCTAGACAAAGTTACTTTGTTAACAGTTTCGGTATATATCTGATGTTTATGACTTCTGATTACATTCATCTTTCTCATATGCTGCTTTCCATCGAATAAACAAGTTTTGTAATCCTCAATTGATATTTGCTTATTAACAACAGCCTTCTTAACACCCTTGCATCTTTTTCCAGCTATTCCATTATCCAATAGAAAAGCGTATTATAGTTTAGATCTCAATCCTACAAATTCTATTATTTCTTTACCAGCTGTCTCATCCTTCATCATTCCAATAACTTTCTTATTTACTCTATTTTTTATCCCTTTGTGATCTTTTGGATAATTACTAGTATCAAACTTTTCACTAATATCCTTCTCAATATCTTTATAAAAATCTTTTGTWTCTATTTCATACATAAGACTATCTGTATCTGTGAATAACAGATTTGCTTTATCACTATATTTTGGTTTAATATATTTATAGTGGAAGCTGTACATCAAGTGCTTAGACAGGTCTAGGATTGACATACCAACGTAAATCGGCTTATTAAACACTAATTCTGTTTTACCCATCGCATTGGATCGCAGCTAGATTTTCTGAGAATATTGTTCTTTTCTTATAGTTAGKTTTATTAACCAATTTAGCAGTTTGCTTTTCATTTGTAACAAGTTTAATATACTGACGATTTCTAATATTTTCATTTGTTTTACTATATATACTGTTGTTCATAAGCTTGAAAAAGTCCTTTTCGAAATCATTTTTTGCTTTTGTAYGTAATTTTGTATTAAGACTAATATATGGTTCCAACCATGTAGATTCATGGAATGTTATACCTCTATGGATATTTGTTATTTTCATCCCTAGACTCTCATATAGTTTTAATGTCTCATGGTGGATTACATATTTAGTCTTATCTAATAGATTTGGGATTAATTTATCAACACCATTTACATTCAACCTTTGAGGAGCTAATGGATATTCATTATGCAGATTATGCAATTCAACAGGGTATTCTAGATCAACTTCTAGTATACAAGGATGCTTTTTCCAGTTTTGTAGTTGTTGTTTGTTCATCCATTTAMACCCATGTGTTGGTAACACTTTTGAGACATTGCCCAACCATGTAAGTTATTAGCATCTAGGTATTTTATGAATGTAGATTTTTCCTTGTTATTAAAGGATTTCATATATTTGTTGTTAACTTTGTTAGCTTTTGCATATCGTTTGCTGATCATAGAAATACCACCGCGTATACCTCTTTCTATCATAAGAAGCATATCAGGATCACTCAGTAATTCTAAATTAACTTTTGTCATCTTTAACATAGCATCCCAAGATATACCTGGAGCTGTATAATACCCCAACACGGATCGAGTTTATAATTACGAATACAAGCATCTCTGAACGTCTCAAGCACATCACGCAATAGTAGAACGTCAGATTTAAGATACAAATCATGATAATCACGCATTGTCTTACATCTAAATGTTTTCCATACTTCTTGAGCATGGTTGTAGTCATTATCAGAAATATCATATAACCTGCTATAAAATCCTTCTTTTGGAGGTAAAGATGTTTCATTGAATTTACTAAAAATATCCATATAGTCATAAGGATATACACCTTTCCTCAATAATAGTCGACGCCTCTTATACCGATAGAAACTGTTTAAGTAATGGTCCGAGTAAGAAGCAGGCAAGCAAACGGCAATGGAATGCATGAAGGTGCTAATTTTGTATTGTATAATCCACCCATCTCATTGGTTAAAACATTAAAATCTGACATAATTTCAAACGTAATCGCATTTTTTAATATTTTATTTAATATCTGATTCTAACTTCATAAAAGCTTTCCTTAGCTTTAATATTAATAGCAATTCTATGTGGGGAACATAGCAAATTAGAAGCATCTTTTGGTTATTGTTTTGAGTGCTTATGATTGGACAACATCTTTTAATACAAAAGAAACTTTGTTTCAAATCAGAGTTTATCCACATCTTATTTTAAAAATGTGTTACCCATAGGTTGATATATAATCAGTGTGAAAACCAAAACATTCGTATGTGGGGAAGTTGCAATTGCCGCAGAACAATAGAAGGTTGCCTGCTTTTTGCGCGTATTGTTACTTAAATTTTTTGTTAAGATATCTGTTTGAGATTAACAATGACTACTACCKGACAAACAAGAATGACATTTCCCACAATTAGTAATATTAGTTACTAATCTGCCCAATGATTCACTCATGAATTTGTAACTATCAATGAATCTTATCTCTCGCTTAACACTGCATTTTTTACCATTTTTATCTTCGAATGTATCAACTACTATTTCTTTTTTGAATGAAATATATTTCTCTTCATTGTTTGGAATACAATCTATTTTACCTTGTGTAATTCCTAGGTTTTTGATAAACAGATGCGCATCATAACCTGCTAAATTATGAAATATAACTGGTATATGCTTAGGTATCTTATAATTGAGATTGCATTCATTATGAGCTGCTCCACGATATTTACCTGTAAGATGATCATGATCTAATACCTTGTCGCTGTTTAATTCTTTTTCACATGCAGATATGACAATGTGTAGCCTTTTCATATTTTTTCTTATCCCTAACAGTCATTTTAACATTTTTATTATAATTATACTTAGAATATATGTTTCTAACCGTATCTTCTAATGATTCAACAAACTTTTGTCCTCATCATCTGATTTAGATGTATATTCGAATATCTTTGGTTCATAAATACTATCATCATAACATTGTACTAGATAACAATATGCTTTTGATACTGACTAGTATAAGATTTATTATCATTTTGTTGACAAGAAGAAATATTTTCTGTTAAGCATTCAAAATCAGCATAAATAACGAATGGAACTCTYATAGAATGGTTATAGTTCTTGAACGATACTTTCGAGCCCTTTTTTTGGTAATACTATTTTCACCGCATCATGGTTCTTACAATATTCATAATGTGAATTAAGCTTCTTTTCCGACGTCTTAAACGAGTTTAGACATCGTTCACAATAATACCTCTTGTGTTCGTTTTTATTTACTTGTGATGATAATAATCGACTCATATTCTTTATCCAACAATAATGATTTGTTTTATCATTTGATATCATAAGTAGGTTTATTGTATACTTATCACTTTCATTTGCACTTATTCTAATCGGATATACTTGGTTATTTTCATACCCGTATTATACGTTTACTCCATATTTTGGATTATTCTTTTCGAAGATACCTATCTTATCAACTTGTACCGGGAATTCAATACCCTCCCAGTTTAATTTTTCAGCATTCACTTTCAAAGATTTTGTAATCCTTTCCTGATTTGATTTTGCTGGATATAATGCATTTATAATAGACCACATGAAACACTTATTGTCATCATTTTTTGGATTAATAATAGCCTTTTTTAATATTTTAATTTTTCCGGTAGTTCAATCCATGATTTTGCTGCTATAGGTTCATATTTATCTATATTAATATCTAAGTTAATCACTCTACTGAATTTCCATCCTGAGCCTTGATTTTGGAATTTACCCACCTTTTCTAATATATCTCCTATCAATGTTTTATAAACATCTTCTAAGTCAGTCGCTTSTGTAATATCCACTGTATTACTGTGTAAGTAACCAAATGTGTATATATCTTCTCCTGATTCATAATCTTCTTTATAAAATTCACATTCTAATATAAGCTTCATTTTAATCGGTTTTTCCTGCTTATTAACCGTTTCAATAACTGAATTCTTATATTTTTCTAAAAACGTCTTAGGATCTATCTTATCCTCACCTTCGATTCTTTAACAACTTGAGGATTATGATTCTTCTTTTTGATTACTATCCAGCTTTTCCTTTTTATTTATCTTGTTATAAATATTTTTTACTACTTTCTTCATCTACACGCTTATTTACTGTTTTTTTTACCTCTGGTGGAATATATTCTAGTATCCAGTCTGCGAATTTATTTAATTTCTTTTGTAAAGTACTCATGCTAGATAAAACCTTATTCTGCTTTACATCCTTCGTTGATACTTTCGTTGGTTTCATAATTGGCACGTTGATCTCAGGCACCGCCTGATCCAAAATATAATTGGATGTCATACTATTGGGTCCGTGTATCTTCCGTCCATTCTATTTTCGATTAAAAACAAAAATTGAAAATCGAAATTTTGCCTGCCTTTTTTTGTTTTTGCTTCTCCGTGGAAAACCAAAAATGGTAATTTTTTTATTTTTCAATTTTGATTTTGAAAAAAATTGATAACTGATTTTACAATTTTTTTTAAACGGAAATTTCTTTAATTTATCATGTACGACCAAATTCGAACGCAGTCCGAGTCGCTTCAACCTACTAACCGGGGGAGGGGGAAGTTCATTTAATCGCGTTACTGCTCAACCAATCTACTCTGTAGGGGTCGTGAAAGGTCGTGAAAGGTCGTGAAGGGTTTAAAATATTTTCAATGTTTGATCGGCCATCTTTGTTTCGCTTGCTGGGCTCTTTCTTCCGCGACATTACGAGGAACTATTGACCAAAACTTCCCCTCGTTGGAGATGAGAGAAAGGCAAAACGTTTGTTCTGTCGACTGCATTTCATCAACAGCGGTCTAAAGGCCGCCATTTAGGATAAAATGTCTGAGGTACTGCAGAATTTCTTATGCTTTGCGATGGTTTTTTTAAAAGCTTATACACCTCTTCCAAAGAGGTATATATATATAATTGTCGACTTGGTTAGCGTGGTGCCTACAAGCAAGGGATTTGTTTGTGATTCTGGGGACTGTCACAGTAAAGATAAGCTTAACATAAGCTTACATAGCGTGCAGGAAATATCTTTTTTATGGAATGAGAAAATTGAAGAAGTAAAGAACAAAATAATATTGTCTGGTGGGAATCTCTAGTTGTCAGGTAAGCTGGTTAACGTAAGCTTTAAGTACAGCACTTTTGGTGTAGCATATTCAGATAATATTTACAATTACTGACTATCATTCAACAGGAACAGTCTTTGGGAACACGAAACAATACTCCATTACAACTGCTCCAGCAACTAATAGTCACAAAATAAGGACTATTAGATAGTAACTATTTAGATTTTATTTCATGAAAATCATATAAGCAATTTATTTCAGCTACTGAATGATGTGAGTGTTCATAATTTGTTATAACACATTTCCTATATGGTGGGCATGGCAAAATTAGATTTTACCTCTAAAAGATACCAGTTAACAATTATAATATCATTGGGTTGGTTTGTGCAGTTTCTAAGGTTGAGAAACTTTTCCTCATAGTTAATATATTTTGAGATTGTAAGGTACAAATTTTAGTGCTAAACAAACTGAAGTGATTGGATAATTRTGATAAGTTTTCATCTCAATATTAATACCTCCATACATATTGTCATAGATTTCTAGGCTGCCATATTTGTCATGTATCAATTACCYAGTTTGATACACACTACAAACAGTGCACAGCTTTAGAACATGGTTCACATTGTAACAAGSAATATCCATGGATGATACACAGTACTGAAATCAAAGTAAGTTAGATATTATACTGAAAACAGGAATTATAGATACTATTAATGCAGATCGTCTATGTGATGTTTTTTTCTATGCACCCTAGTGATGGACATTTTAAGCTTTCATTTGCTGCTACTAATATGGAAGTATGGTGTTTGGCTTGTGCAGCACCTGATTGCCTTTTTTATTGCCAAATTCATTTAGATCCTAACATGTAATAAATTCTTATTGATAACAGTATTATGTTCTTCTTTTTCAGTTTATCTACATTGTGTAACACAGGGTTTTGGAGTTATTTTTCAATAGAAGCACAGGAAGCCCAAGCCATAACTTTGAATAGACTTAATGATTATATGTAGGTCTGTCTACTCAAGTCATTGCACTTTATTTAGTTTTTTTAATGAAAAATTCAAGCTATAATTATTATATGTACATATGTGTGTGGAGATTTGTAGGATCTTTTCCTGGTCCATCCAAAACAAAAGGAAAGAATCTGTGAACAAAGATGACAAATTGGGTAAGGGGGCCTAAAATTTTTAAAATGATTTAACACAGTGTAATTAGATAATTGATTGCAATTGCCATTCATTTCGTGAGAATTTGCACAAGTGTGGTAAAATAAGCTCCACTTGTTCCCTTTCACTTACAAAAACACACTATACATGTACATTACAACTTAACTGTAGCAAGTGATAAACTTTGTAATTTTGTTGATCAATCTTGTACTTTAAAAATACTGTGAATAAACTGAATTGAATTTAACAGAAATTAACATTGGCTTGATAGTATGTTTAAGGGGTTTGAAAATGGGCAGCAACATATGATATATGGTTATCAGGCCCGTAGCTAGGGGGAGCACAGGGTGCTCCCCCCCGATAAATCTACTGGCTACGGCCCTGGATATATAGTCCCGTATCTGGAAGCAAGCTGGTGTGGAGTTGTTATATCTTTGATTTCCTCATTTGTTATAGCCTTGCCTTTAAAAAATGCAGACATATAGCCAGAAGATATTCTACACGATCGGAAATTTTGATATTGCATATTTTTCTTACAGCTTAAAACAACACAGGGCTCCCACACAAACGACTTGAGATTTTTAGATTTTATGGCTTGTGGTATAAATTAAAGTCTTGTTATATATTGTCTTGAAGGGAAGTCAATCATGAATTTCATTGTCAGTGTATGTTACTTTAATTCGAGTTTACATTTATCAGTGCGACTGTAAATAACTTAATACTGGCCTTCTCGCTCGAGGTAAAGGCCAATTTCTGCTTTCGTTTGACTGGACAAATCGAAACTTTTTTCTCCGGCAAAGTTTTTATTGTGCGTAATAAAAACTGTCAGCTGAGAGTTGTTATTTATGCTTGATATTCTCGTTTTTTATCAGTGTGACTGTAAATAACTTAATACTGGCCTTCTCGCTCGAGGTAAAGGCCAATTTCTGCTTTCGTTTGACTGGACAAATCGAAACTTTTTTCTGCGGCAAAGTTTTTTATTCTGCGTAATAAAAACAGGCAACTGGGAGTTGCTATTTATGCTTGATATTCTCGTTTTAATCAGTGTTACTGTACACTTATTAATACTGGCTCGTGGTAAAGGCCAATTTTCTGCAGTTAATTTCGTTTGACAGGGCAAATCGAAACTTTTTTTTCTGCTGCAAAGTTTTGATTCATCGTAAACAACTTGATGCTCATACATAATGAGGATACTTCTGCACATGCACGTTTAATCGTTTATCATTGAGATAAAAAAAAAGCCAGGGTCCCAGATTGGTGCCTTGGGGTATATCGTCGGGGACAGATTCTTATTCAAATTAGTGCATTGTCAATTGTACGCGTTGAAAGTTTTTGCCAGAAAGCCTCCAATCCAAAAAGCAAATCCCCCTGGGGAATTGGAACCCCTAACCCTAGGGTGGATGATCTTGCATGAATGCTATTCCAATTGGTTTGAATCGATAACTTTAACCCCAACCATAACCCTAGGGCCAAAAGTATGCATGACATGTCGACTTATATGAATGATTACTATCATATGCCGGTTTCAGTTTGTCTTCCCCTGCTCTCTTTGTAATAAATAATATTACCTTGTAATTAAGATTTAAACAGTTTTGAAAATGGTCCCCTGCGCGGATAGAGATCACGTCATAGAGCAGTCAGCAAAAAGGTAACCATTTATCAATGACTATAATTATGTAAATACGGACTCGCACCAAAGCCATATGCAGTAAATTAATTGAAATTTAAATAAATTTTGCACGTTGGATAGGAAATTCTTTCTGGTAAGACAGTAAAAGTTTTTTTTCTAAATAATTTCTGTCTTAACTAGTGTGTGCAAAATGGGCGTGGTAAGATAAAGAAGTCCAAAACAGTCCTCGTTTCCTAGTTTGAGATTAGATGATGGTAGCTTAGAAAAAAATGTCTGAAATAGTTCTCTTGCATGGCTGTCAAGGCAAAATGGGTCTGAAAGGGGCCTGAAATATTCCCACTTGGCAAGTGAGTGAAAAGCAGAATTGTACATTGGACAAGGGGGACTGTAATAGACCATCTAGACAAGCTAGTGAAAATCAATGTTGTACATTTGATTATAAGGGTGTTTAGAACAACCCCTTTAACTCACAAGTGAAAATCAATATTGTACATGGAATAAGGGGGACTACCCAAAATAGTCTCCTCTGGCTAGTGAGTTTTACAGTCGAGATGCCAGCGTAACCACTGGGAGAAGACGAGCGGGCTCTATTGAAACGTCTGCTGGCCAAACAACAACAACAAGAAAAAGAGAAAGGAGCAAAGGACGTCATTGTAGAGCCTGCTCAAGGTTTCTCGAGCACAACTGTTTCTTCCACGTGCCGTGTGGATGGTGGTTCAGGGCAAAACAAACCAAAGTCTGCATCACCTTCCGGAAAAACGGCATCGTTGACCGACTCCTACGACCCCTGTTCGTACGTTCATATACTCGATGCCGTGGGCTTGGTTGCAAGAGAAGGAGACTCGTGATCTCGAAAAAAGTGAAAAAAGAAGAAAATATGAAGCGTGGTCTTTTGTGAGGAATTAAATTTGTTTAAACCTCACACTCTTTCGTCATTTTTTTGGGTCACGAGAGGGACGAAACAACGCAGCGACAACTGTAGCGGGTTTTTGAGGAGGAGGAAGAATCCTATAATACCATCCCCACAAGGTGATGGACCTCGAAGATTACTTGATTACAACTTTTATGTCAACAACGGCTGGATGAACCACGCCTTGCCGTACGTACAACATTATCCCGTTTCGAGTGTGGAATTCAGGCTACACCATCTTGCGTCAAGAACTGTACGTCATGCGCGTTGGACCGCATGTTGGACTTTCAAGGCAAGCTCGATAGCTGGCTGGAAAAGTTGCAGCAGCTACAACTTTGGCTAGGAGAAGCACATGAAGCCTCCGACTCCTGAGAGCATCGACGACCTTGACCGAGCTGAGCTAGCTACCTCAATACCTGGATAAAATACCAGCTCCTTTTCTCCATTGATTTAATCATGTTGTTGTTGTTGTTGTTGTCTCTGCTGCTGCTGTTGCTGTTGTTGTTGTCTCTGCTGGACCTGGTCGTGAAGCGTCGACTGTGGTGACCCGTCGTTCTGCCAACCTCGCCTGGGCACAGTTTATGGAAATTCTATTCCGCCAGTCCGCGAGAGAAAAGGTTTGCGACACCCTCAGTAGACATAAAAAGCGTCTCGTTGACTCCGAAGCCAGACGTCGCCACTCGTTTTGCCATGGACATCAATGAAGAACTAGAGTACGTCCTCGTGTCGACGAAAAACATGTGCACTCTGATATGCAGAAAATTCAACGCCATTCAGTCTCACCACGACTTGGACGAGAAGGCAAACACGGCAACAGGGATCTGTACTCCTGTTTGATCGATTATGTGCGTCAGGACAGGGTTGAGGATCTCCTCCATCACCTGGGACGCAACGAAAGCCCCCATCAGCGATAAAAACCGCAGACTTTTTACGAACTCCATTTCACGATGACGAAGCAGCGAGATGGACGTGGATAATTTCACAAGCTGGAAGAACACGTCATGGTGCTTAACCGCCTGCTGGTGCCAAAGACCAACACGTGGCGTTACAAGATGTCGAACCTGTCTTCGAATAGASTTTTGGTTCACCACATTAAGGAGAGGCACAATCTCCTCCAGGATCTCAACGATTTGTTGAGATTGACCATCAAGGCGCATTAACAGTACCAGGGCCACCTCAAGGGCCACCCCATTCTAGAACTATAAAGTCTTCGAGACCCACCCAGCAGCAATCATGAAACACCATCGCAATCGTCTCCTCCCAGGACAGGCACCACCGCCACTATTGCCACAGCCCAAGAAGGAAGGTAGCATCCAGGTAGTCTACGAAGGAGACGCTGCCCCAGCCAACAGCAACGCTACGATCGTCACCGCGGCATAGGAACCCACGAAACACCAGACGTCTCCTGCACACTTCAATACCTTTTTTATTCTTCCATTGCCTCTTTTCTCTCGTACCGGGATCCCTGTCTTCATTTCCTCTTTCTGTCAGGTGATCCTTTCCTCGATTTTTATTTCTTTTCCTATTTCCCTGTGGCCTTCCCTATTAGATCCGGAACTGGATACCCTCCACTCTCAAACCCTTTACTACTGCTGATTTTTAAAGTCGATTTTGAGATCCCATGGATGGCCGATCCATTCAAATTGGTACAAAGGATAAGGCCACTATGCTCGAGGTTTTGAAAAAGATGTCAAGGGCGAATTTAACCAAGAGAGATTTCACACTTTCCAAGGAAAATGGCTTGAAGTGGTCTTTTCTCGAATCAGGCCATAATATTAGGAAAACAAAAAGTTCGATAAAAGTGGTAAAACTGAATAAAATTATTTCAAACTACAACATAGTGTTCTTCTTATTTTTCTCAACACCCCTGTGAAGTTTCAGCTCAATATGACATTTTTTCCCCTACTTATATATAATATATATAAGTAGGGGAAAGTTTATCATAATGAGATGAAACTTCACAGGGGTGTTGAGAAAAAGAAGAAGAACACTATGTTTTAGTTTGAAATAATTTTATTCAGTTTTACCACTTTTATCGAACTTTTTGTTTTTCACTGTCAAGTCCAGTGTTTGGGCTACCTGTGGTAATCCTACGTTTTCCACATGTTATCTTCAGGCAGGTATTATTCGAATTTTCCCCTACGCTTTACCTTCGTATTCCTTCTGGGCAAAATTCCTATTTTATACACATTTTTCCAGACGCCAAAATCACAGGATAATATTAGTTATCCTAACAATTTTACTTCTGTTTGCCTGACAGTCTTAATGCGCATTTTACCCAAGTTTTACCGACAGTAAAATGAATAGATAACAGGTATTATCGTGTATAATTTTCTTTCGTTATCTTGCAGAAGAAAAACACGTGTAATTCTGGCATAACCATTGCATTTTACCAATAGGATAATTGAAAATAATATCGCATAATGCCAGATGGTAAAATGTAAAACGTAATCCTTAATCATTATGCTCTCTTCTTGCGTTTTACCTTCCACTGCGCCAAAAGTCAAATATGCTTTAGTATTGAAGTATTGAAGTATTTTTGTTTTGCAAATTTTGCGTACAAAATCAATCTTTAGTAATTGAATCAAAATATTTCGCGTTGAAATATGCGAGCGTTTACGATATACAAGTATTGAATACTCCTTCGAAACTTCGAGTATTGGAAGGTTTTCAGGTAGTGTGATCTATTTGACGTCTGATGGCTGCCATATATCTAATTTTCGTATGAATCGAACTTTAGTATTCAGTCTGAAGTTGAAACATTCGAATGGATCGTTTGATAATTAACTGCTACAGTGATTTCACTTTTAAGACTTCACGCATCTATATTCATTCGATATAATCAAGTATTATGTTAGTGCACTCTTGCTTGAATACTTTGTTTTCGAAAATGGCTTGACGCGGGCTCGAAAAGTTTTAAAACTCGCTACATACTCGACATACTTTTATCACAAAAAAGTATCCGTTTTATTTCAACTGAGATGAACTCCTATATTGAAATTAATCTGCAGTAGTAGCTACAGCATTTTCTGAACCCTGCGCGCTGCAAAACTCTAACAGAGCCTATAAATAGCTCTTTATTTGCAAGTTTTAGCGACAAATTTAGCATCCTTTAATCGCACAATTAGTGCTGTTGTTTATTGTTCAAAATGCTGTATTTCGTGGGCTGGTACTTAAATATCTTTTGTTGTGATATATTAGGCTATACTATCAATCGTCGATTGCGCATGCGTGCGTGCTTACGATATGCCAAGCTCAATTGGTTCCCACATTGAAGATCACACGTTGAATGCTGTGCTATAAAAGGTACGTATTCTAAATGCAAGTAGCAGCTTGGCCAAAGATAGGGGTTATCTTGTGCGCGACGGCGTGTGAATGGTCTTGGGGCCGGTAATTCCCTCCCATGCAACCAAGCAAGCCACCGTGAGTTCCTTGATAAACAAAGACCTATTTATAGGCGCCCCGACGTTCAAGGAATGCCCGTACGCTAGCACTCGCTTTGCAGGAAAGTCGTGATTTCAACTGTAGGTAGAGACTAGTTTAAACGTATCGTGGCGTGGTCTAGGGGATCTCACTTTTTACTTTGATGGTTTTCGTTTTTTTTTTGTTGTTTTTAATAATTTCAGCAAAGACAGAAGACGTCACGATAAGATTTACGTCTATTAAGAAGAGCCCAACATGCGAGCAAGCCTGCTGAAATATCTATAAGGACAAAAAAATCAGTAATAAAGATCGAATAAACATTCTTAAACATCGATTCTCATCAAGTAGCCAATAATTACGGATCCAAGACCGAAAAGCAAGATACAAAAAGAAATAATGTCCAATAGAACAAAAAGGACATCTATACTAATAAAATCTAACTTTAAATACTTGATCGCGAAAGATTTTGTCATTCAGAATACTTTAGAAACGCGGTAAAACGGTACGTTTACCCCTGATTATCCCACTGCATTATGTGGTAAAATTAGACTTATGCTAACGGGAAAATTTAAGATTATGCGGGGTTTATAGTACGTTAGGATTACATAATTCCTTCGTTATCGCACGGTATAACGCGACTTTTTTGGCCGTGTACCATCTCTCTCTTGCTAAATTTTGAGAACAAATTGCCGAACTTGCGTATTTTTACCGCTCCGTAGACTTGTCAGGGTACAACAATTAAGCCCTCCTTCCGTTTTTATAAAACCATTGATCGCGTTGGAGAAAAAAAAACATGCCACCCCCTTTAAATAAATTGTGCTGTTGACAAAAGTAATGAGGGAATACTCCATAAATCAAAGCGGAAAACGTCTGTTTTATTTGATAACAGATCCTCTTGTGCAAAGACCTGAAGAGAGAGTATGTGTAAAGGTAGAAAACTACTGTGTAGCCTTTCTCTTGAACACTTTATATCTTAGAGGTCAATATATTTATCACCCTTTTCTTTTCCTTATTTTGAAATATACTCTTCTTTGTTATTTCTGTTAAATTTGCCTTTACCTTTCTCATTTTGATCTTAATTGTACGTTATGTTAGACAAGTAGTGTTATTGTATATAATTGACATGTAATTTATATATGTTATTTACCGGCTGGGAGGTCCGTATAGGAAAACACTGCCCGAGGTCTTGACAGTACGTACATAAAAGACCGAGGGTTTATTTGTATTTTATGCAACTTTGCTCGCAGCCTAGCTGCAGGATACCGTCGGACCGGGCAGATCGTGAAAAACCGGACCGCGCGCTAGCCAATCACAGCGCGCGAATGACTAGGATACCGGACCGAAAAAAAAATAAATCTATTTATTTATTAATCTGGCCCGCCCAGACTAGCAAAGCTATTTGCGGGCCAAGATTTACTCTTTGTAATAATTGTATGTTATTTTTTGTAAATACAATTGAATTGAATTGTAGAGTAAATGGACTATAAAAATATATTTATTATTTTTTTATTCCAAAGTAAACGATTACAATTATGTGATGCATACCTAAACTTATATCTAACAACTAATTACTGAAACTGTTTAATCCAGACACATCGTAAATCATTTGCTTAGTTTCGTGCATTTGTTTTGACGAGGATTCTGTTCGACAGTTTTGTCTCTATTATTAGTACGACTGTATTCGATTCAAAAACCAGTCGACAAGCAATCGGAAATTGATATTCGATTGTGTTCGATGGAAATAAGAATGATAAATGTAGACAATTTCAGCAGTATTTTGCTATGCATTTTTTAAATTGTCTTTCAAATGAACACTTATCAAACGAATGGATCCTTCAATTAGTTTATTAGGTTTAGGCAATTAGCTTGACAACTTAGGTCAGTTTTGCAAGAAAATCAATGAAAATGTACCAGTTTCAAAACTTTTCATATCAGGACATAATTGTATAGTTTATCGAAGAATGGTATAAAACTAGTCAACGACTGAAAATGTGCTGTTAAATACTTTAGAGTTTCATATCATGCATATTGTACTTCAAGGATGAGAAAGCAAATAGATAGTTATTTCTCGAAAAAGTATGATTGCCCGTTGAAACATTGCAGGACAATTATTAACTACATTATAGAATATCACACCCATATCTGGAAAATGAGATGAAAACATATTCAYTCTTCTTTGACKTAAGCCTGGGGAAAATGACAATGGATCAYATCCAAACTCAGGCCAGTAAGTCAAGTGGCCTCCTTTTTGCTCATACATCTGAACAACCTCTTCTGTTGATGGGAGTTCTCTTATTGCAATAGGTGCAGTCATGTTGTTTGCTGCTTCAAGTTCGTTTGGTCGACCAGATCCTGAAAGAGAATCATTTTCAAATGATTAACAAGTACCAGTTTACACAAGCGAGCCCTATATTTGCGTCATCCTGAGGGGCTATCTCGTATTTTGCCAAAATTAATGTCTCAACAATATATCTAAAAGAGTTTGTCACCGGAGTTACTTAAAACGGAGCAGTATAATTAATTGAATTTTATTAGACATTGCTCTCGGGAATAGATGGTCAGCTAGGCGGGTGCATAGCTGAGTCCTATTGAGAATATATCAATTGGATATTTCAATTTTGTCATTACAACCTTGCACTATAGAAAAAAACTAGTTAATTCCTCATAGCAGCCAATCAGCGCTAGCAAGTAAACCTGCACAACTTGTTAACAACCTTGAGGTGAGAAAATTATTTGCAAAAACAAAATCTTGTGAGGGTAGGGCCGTAAAACCATTTTTTTTAGTGATACTATTACTATTCTTCTAAAGCTATCATCTGAGACCAAAATCAGAACTGTTGGAATTGAAGATCATGGAGAAAAGTCGCAATTTGTAACTAATATTCAACATTCGAAAAGTCTCCTGAGAATTGTTGTTGATACAAGATACTTTGCGGTACATAATTTATGTTTTTTAGCCATCTCTAGTTGTAAACGACTTATAAAACTCCAACACAAATTAACATTAATTACAGTGAGATAAATGACGAAAAATGACAATTAAGGAAACTGCTGAGTTTAGTCGCTATTAAGCATGTGCAATTTACTGCAACACAGAACATTTTGAATAATTATCCATCCCACATGGAAAGCAAGCCATCCGTTGCATAAGCAAGTTCTGTTATCCATCTTTTATTGCTTCAAAACCTAGTGAAGGTCTATGATGCAACACTAAAACTGAGACCTTTGCTAGTGTTGGGTTGTCTCAATGGTGACGACCGTGTTGTAAATCTGATACAACACTAGTGTTGTATCAGATTTACAAGGTCAATCACCTGATTAAATGAACAGCCCTTATTGCAGTAATAGATCATGCATTATTAATAAGTTTTATAATAGATAATACATATCAGATCAAGACAAGGACTTGAAATTGGAAGCGCAAAAAATTAGCTCGGCCATGCCTACTAAGAATCACATAGCTTAGCTTAAAAAAATATCAAGGAAATCAGGGTGGATTTACTGTGTAACAAGAATGCTATCAGATATGATTTTTGTGGTATACGTCAATTCATATGTAYCACATTTTACCTTGGATATGATGTGCATTCCATGAGTCAATGACCTGGCGACACCCTTCTTTGCACACTCTTAATGAAACCCAAGAAATTGAAAACTTTGTAATACCATCCTCCATGTCAAATACATCATTACCAGCCATTTCATTCAATGCTCTCTTTACAGGATAATTTACTCTTAAATTGAATTCTACCCAGATTCTTTCAATCTTGTGATTCTATATAGACAAGGAAAAATGTATATTATAAAGACTTTATTATCAGAGACACAGCACCTAGCTGCAAAGTTAATTGTTTCCAAAGAGCCAACATTTTTGAGCCTCAAAATAACTCACTATGAACTTATATATGGCTAATGTTTTTTTTAGAGAAGTTACATGATTATACTTTATATTATTACAGGCAGTGCTAATTTTTATAAACAGTTAACATTTTCTGCTTCATTACGCCTAATGAAGCTAACTGTTGTGAAATTTTAAATTACAATCTGGACTGCCACTGCAGTTACAAGAAAATATTTTGCAAAATATTTGCAACACATACCTCTTTCGAAGTACTCTGTATGTAAGGAAGTCTCTCAGTGTTTCTTCTATGTTTACTCAATAAGTCTTGCACAAATAACATGAGGTAAAATTCCTTYCCATGGTCAACACGCAATTGATCCCACAAACCAAAAGTAGCGACAGAATTTCTGCAGTGCARGTAAATAATAATTAGAGTGTAACAATCATATGCACATGATATTCAGAAAACATATAAACTGATAATTCTTCTTTTAATACAAGGTGATAATGGGATAATCTATTAATGGGATAATAATATTATATATATATAGTCACTGAGATTGCTTGTCAGAGGGCCCTGCCATTGCAGCTGTAGCTTGCAATCTGGTGTTCAGTACAAAAGAACATGTTAATGTAATTCAAAAAAGGTGTGGCTGCGATCAACTAAGAGAAGGTGTTATACTAAACCACACATTATAAGACCACATATCTGAAACAGGTAGATCCCAATTGCAGTCCTTCACTGAACAAGTTGAAATTGATATCATTTCAAATTCTTCAGGTTATTTCTCTAACCAATCACAAAACTAAGCACATATTTGGTTTTACATTTATGCTGTAAATCTTGATGAAAATTATATACATGCAGGTGAACAAAACATTGAGCAGTGATCCATTCATTTTAATTCTAAAATGTTTTATGATCTAGAATAATTAAAATTATTATTTAGTTGAGTATTATATATATGTAAATGTATAGAAAGCTAGATTAAGTATAGTTGCATAATACTCTTATAACCAGGGTGTTGTACAGCTAGGATGTTTTTAAACATTTTTGCAATGGCATGCATTCATCAACTTTTGTGTTAGAATTCTGTTACACCAATGCACAGTAAAATTCTGCACACAAATCTTCTTAAGATCATCATTCGCAGCCAAAACAATATAATTGAAAATGAATGGGAGAAAATGCAGTGCAACACATTGCTATTTAACACATTGCTATCATATTTTTTTTTGATCTATCATTATGAGAAAAATAGGCTGAGAGAATTACAGTGTTTATAGTATAGTATACCAGAAACTCATAAGGGGATTAATCCCCTTATGAGTTTTTGAGTATACCTTATAAGACCAATAAGTCCCTATGAACAAATTCAGGTGAATTGAAATTTTCAATGCTGAAATTGGCTTACCTGTAGATGTCATTATAAATGATAAGGTTGTTTTTTACTGGCATTAGACTGTGGCTTATGATTTTCCCACTGTATCCATCTATAGCACACACATGTGTCACACCATACATAACAAGTTTTTCGTTTTGGTCAACGTGGAGTTTATGGCCAAAGTATTGTGCACTATATGGAATGGGGTTCTTTAGTTGTTCAGCTCTGTTCTTTCTCATTTCTTGGTGGCATGGTGCAACACGTGCCAGTGAAGACCCAACCCTTTGTTCTCCAGGGGTCATTCCTTTGGATCTCAAATAACCTGTAACCATTTTTCTACCCCAGGTTGGTCCAACCTGTAAAGGATAATTTATCAACTCCTGTGTTCGATTGACAGGCTACCTGAAATTTAGTTTAATTGACGGTCAAATCCGAACGATCAATAGAACAACTGAAATGTAAAGTTTGAAAAACTACAAAGATTAAGCTTATTATTTTATTTATTTATTTAATTTAGCTTAATTTCTGTTCGTATCGAGCGCCTTTCACGCGGGACTGCAAGTTATAAGCCGAAATTATAAACACTGTTCAAGTCTCATTATATAAACAAACTTTAAGCTCACCTTAGTAATAACCTCTTTAACCATCACATCCAAAGAGTTGTCGTCAATTTGAGATCTTGTTGATATGCTGTTTTCTAAACAAAATCTTCGCACCGATCTCTCACTCAAACCTCTTACCCCAGGATAAAGAGTGCAAAGTATCGAACTTATTTCTAGATAAGTCTTTCTTTCATTCTGAACCAGGTGTTCTATAAAATGTTTGGGAATATTTTCCATTTCTCTTGAACTTCGACCGAGTGTACAAATTGGCGCGCAAACAGTCGACCATATCAATCTCGAGCCTCCTCCGCAGGGCATCACTAAGAATCACGTGCTTACACAGAGAGCCCAAGCAATAACTTTGAACAAATAATAGATAGTTAAAAATAAAATTTTACTTTTCTTTTTTTATTTTATTCAGTACCACAATGCACTATAAATGGGTTTTAAACAATTTCCACTCCATATATACATGTATATATATAGTGTAGGGGAATTTTTTAAAACCATTTTATATAATGCATTGTGACACTGAATGTCGTCAGAAGACGGTCAAGATAACCGTTTCAAAGGAAGCCCAAAGGAGAAGCAAAAACTATTTGCCTGGGGAGGAGGCTAATCAATGTCCACACTAGGGGAGACAGTTAGTAGGTCTGGTCCTCCCTCCCCTGAATTAAAAGAATTACTCCCTCCCCCTCGCAAACGAAATAAATTACGCTCGCTCCCCCTCCCGTGAATTTATTATTTTTAGTTATCGCCCTCCTCGGGATTCTCAATCTCAATCCCCTCCCATCTTCCTGATAAATATTGCGCAGTCCATTCCTAATATAATATAAGCGCCGGGAAATGCAGAATATTTCTCAAAACATTTGATAATCAATAGCGCCTTTCTTCAGCTTTCCCACCACAATCATAATCATAGAAAAATTCAAAAAAAAAAAAACTGCTGGCGTATAAACACATCGGCAACAGGGAACACGAATTAAACAAACATAATATTTTATGAATCAAGGTTGGGAAAACTCTTATCCTGGCTACTTTTGCTTTGTTAATTTGACGATGGGACTCTATGGTGTCCTATTAATGATACGTACAGCACCCTATTTTTCGTGTTCGTTTTACCCCCCCCCCCCCCCCCCCCCCCCCCCCCCCCCYCCCACACACACACACAAATGTCTAACATTCACGTTCATTTTCCAGTAGGTTCACTTTAAAAAAACGTTCCATTACAATAAATTTTATATCCCATGCCTTTAAACCTCCATTAGGTTATCATATTAGGATCATATTTTGTATTGATTTTCGCGCCAAAATATCATGATTCTCGGAAAGAGCATGTAGACGAGTCACGTGTCCTTCGAGCATACCTACACAAGCGCGCCGTGGGAAAGTCGGGTTGTTAGTCGTTGTCGTGTGAGCTAAGCAGGCTAAGTTTGTCGTGTGAGCTAAGTTTATAAAACCATGGCGAATCAGTTTGAATTTATCAGAGGAGGGAGAAAATTGTGGATCTCACTGCAAGATGTGACAGCAAAACGACTTTCTACCGCTTTTCAAGTAAGTACAGTCAATGAACAAGCAACTGTAGGTCTTTTTTGTGGGGAACTAGTAGGGAAATCATTAGTAAGATTTATAGCTGACATTCCGCTTGGATGGCTCAAAATACTTGTCAAACGGCTAGAAAAAGCAACTTTACATTGTAAACTCACGATGTCTTTCACGTAATATGCCTATTGCATGTAAAGCTCATAGATTGTAACATTGGTTTGAATTGATTTTATTAATCCATTTGCAATATCCATAAGAATGCAGCATGCATGATGCAGTTATTGAAGTTGATTCTGAGTTATGTCAAAACAATTCAAAATTTCCGAAATAAAACCTTTCGTTGAGTATTGTATAGTTTGCAGTAGCTCATAGTTTGTAGTTAATTATGATATGTAATAATTTTTATATTTCCAAACTGCAGTTCAATTTGTTTCTCAAAATGTTTTAAAAACTTGCGAATTGTCATGTTATAAATGTTTTAATCTGTAACTGAAAATACCGGTTTCTATAAATCACACTTTAAAGTTGACTTATTACAAATGGAATGTACACATGAAGATCACACTCCACTTTACACGAAAAGTTCGCATCAATTTGTGAATGTCTAGCGAACTGTTGCGTGGCCTGCGATAACATTATCTCGTTAAGAAGTGTAGGCAACAATCTTTTATAAAGCCGCGGTGGAATTTATTTGGAACGTTTTGAAATTGATCGGGATGTCAATTCTCATTCGATCATCACCAGTTATCAGATCAATAATGTTATAATTTTGTTTGAGCGTGGTGCGGGTTTATTTCTTCATTTATAAACAATTTAGCACAAACTAAGGAAAAGATATTAACAATCATAAATTGCACAAAATTTGAAGTATTTTAACAAATCGAATACGTTCAAAACGGTTTACAAATAAGTTAGTAAAACACGCAGGGTGTTGTTATGGTCGTAGTCTATTAAAAAGTCATGTTAAAAGACATTCTGTCTAAACACCCATCGTCTTGCGCAAATAAATTTTCTTGACTCAAACTTCATATGGAAATTGAATGGAGAGATTTAGGCGTTAGAAATGCTGTCACTGATTACATGATTCTCTGTGAGCTGATTCTATATAAAGTAAATTACTGAATGGTGAAGTATTCCTGCATTTCAGTTTTGCGCCTTTGAGTTATGAAGGTTCAATCTTACAATATGCTAATGAAAATGACGTCAAAGAAGGCTTCATTAGATATACGAGTCGCTTAAAAAAGGTTTCATGACATTAAAAGTATTTAAAATACACTGAGCCAATTAACTCTCTCGTAAGCGTTTAAGTGAAGCGACCACCTCGGGATCAGGAAAAAGTGGTCGTTTACGAGAGATGGTCGTTTACGAGAGTGGTCGTTCAAAAAGAGTCAACTATAGTTTGGATTTTGAGATCAGAATTTGACAATTCCCATTCATTTAGAAACTACAAGTTTTATAGCAATTATTTTACTATGACTTACATATATTATTTTATGAAATTAGGTTGATGAAGATTCACTGTACCTCAAGCAGGAGTGGGGAGATTCTGCAGTCTTCCCTGATGATGGGAAGTTCAATCTTCTCCCATATACAGTTGGAACAAGCTTTGAGGTGATGGGAGTTGAAAAAAGCAAACAAAATCCACCTTCAAGTGCATTAAGCTACACCTCAGCCTCCACAAGTTCTCAGTCTGGTGCCAACAACTATTCCAACAACCAACAAACCTCAAGACTATTTGCTGCCTTTAAGAAGAGCACAGACAAAACCTCCTTTGCATGCAAAATTGTATTGGCTGACAAAACAGGGAAAGGATTCACAGAGAAAAATCAGATGTATCTAACCCTTAGAGAGGACTCTGCAAATGTCCCTTTTGTACTAGACAAAGCCAAGGAAAAGTTTGGTAAAGAGTTGATTTTGGTCTCAGGAAATGGTCTTCCCATTGAAGATGAGGAAGGGACCAGAGGTAAGGATAACAACTGTTATGCAGGTTTTTTTAGCATATTAAGTAGGGTCTTGTTTACTACTTATTTTGAAAACGAGAAGAAAAAAAACACCCATAGTTAAGGTGGATCACAACTAATGAAACACAATTTTTGTACTCTTTGTGATTTTTCAAAATTTTACTCAAGAAAATTGTCTAAATGAAAGCCTTCAAAGTCAGAAAAGGGAGTTTTAGACTTCAGATATTAAATTCATCTTCTTCGGTGCTATTTTAATATCTATCATTGTCAGATCATAGCAGACAGTGACCGTTAGCGATTATCATGGCGTGACAGTTCGTCTCCTCGATGTATTCTATTTTAGACTTAATTGATCATATTACTCTCAAATGCCCACTTCATAGACTTAAAAAATGCTTTTAAAGGAAGAATTCAATGTGAGGTAGGGAAATACTGAATGATTTGAGTGTTTTTCTCAGTGATATTTTCACTTCTGGCGGCAAGTGTGTTTATTTTCCAGAGCCAATGTTTTTCATCAAGCCTACGAACCTGCGATTAAGGTCTGAGGAAAGTCTCATGCCTCAAAAAAATTCTCGACTTTTCTCGCGCTCAGTGGGTTCATTTGGGTATAATTAATAACTTGTGTGTGTTATAAATGTTCAAAACATTGTATTTCTATGAGAAAAATGACCAAGAACTTCATAAATTCGCGGGAAAATATGATGCTTTGTTTGTGAAACAAGAGATAAAGTCTTCACAGCTTGATCGTTTCAGAGGTCAATCTACCATGCGTTTACTACCTGGAACATTCTTCGTGTGCATGTGAYGTCATAGTCACGCAAAAAATCTCGCAAAATCCAAAATATTTTTGCTAAAGAGCTGTTCTTACAGTATATCTTAAATATATTTCTAGATAGTGTGTATGGAAATTTTCAGACGAATTCAACGCTTTGGTGGCGAAACACAAAAGTTTTAGTTTGTGCGGAGTTTAATTTATTCTACTGTTAGATTGTAAACAAAAACTTCGAAATTGGATAAATCATTCTTTCAACTCCGTAAGAACGTACTTAAGGTGATTTTTCTTTGAAATAAAGCCATAATTGAACAAAATTTACAAAGAAAATCAAGGAAACCAGAGTTTTTGAAGTCAATTTGAAACCAGTCGCCATCTTGGATGATCAAAGTTATCATCCAAGATGGCGTCACCATACAAATTAACCAGATATTTCAAATCTTTATTCGCTGATATCTTCATCAGAAAGTAAGCTGCAAGCCTTAAAGCTCGTATTCTAGATAATCTGABTATGCTCTTTGTGACTCGCTACTTGGTTTTTGAAAATAACGACTAATAAATTTTCACTTTGGGGGTTGCACACCAAGAATACGAGTATTCGGCTACAATGTCAATTTTTGATCATTCAGAATTATCGATTTTAAATACAGTATACACTTAACATTTTATGTAGGTAGAACTGTCTATTGAAAACCAAAAAATGAGTTTTTTGACTGTTTTCCATGATCAATTTGAACAGCAGAATTTTCCAGCTCGTGTGGGGTGTTGCAATGGATTACATCATGTTTATATACTATTCTTGGCTTGCACATGACGTCATCAGTCGAAAAAAAATCTAAAATATCACAGACACACAACATTGTGGTACTGAAATATCTTGAAGAGCATGATAGACGTTCACTCTGAATGTTTAAACTTTTTTTACTGTTTATTCGTTGAGTTATTAGCGTTCAAACATATGTTACGTAATACTGCCAGATATGAAACCAGCAGTGATTATGTATTAACTCTTCGAGGCTCATTTAAACGCAATATCCAGTCGCCATATTGTTTCTAAGTCACATTACGTCATATCSTGCGATTTATTGTCGATTTATTGCCGATTTTCCTCTGAAAACCAGCCGAAATCGATCGGAATTGGATCGGTCCTTGTTTCCCGCGAAAAGTAGTAATGAAATTTTCCACACACTGATTTTCAAAAATTGGTGTTCAACATATCACAAGATCATGGTAATTGGTTCCATATTTATTTCTATACGGCTGTTTATTCTATGTACGTCATATTTTGGGCTCATTTTTTCTGCCCGAGTTTTTCCAACCAAATTCATATCTTTTATGCAGTTTGATAAGATCTATACAAATTCTAAAGGCAGATTTACACGGAACGATTATCGCGTGTGACTTGTAGTATACGACTTGAATCGCGCTGTGTAAATTCCCCTACGACTTGTCTACAACAGTTGTACGCAACCTACTAATTGTAGTAGGATTTTGAACCACGGCTTAAAATCCTATGACTTGTCGTAGGAAAATCTTATACTACAAGCTGTATGTGACAATCCTACCGTGTAAATCCACCTTAAAAATGTCTAGATGATCCGAATGTTAGTTTGAGAGTAAATCATTGAAAACTAAAATTACCACTGTTTGAAAATGTGCTGTATCTTTAAAACCAGCCAAGAAATTACTGACAACTTTAATAAAACTGCAATAATCACTGCATTTTGTATCTGAATTTCAGCACGTTTGCCTAAATCCTTTTGCCAAGCGAGCGAGTTAAAAAAGTACAAAATTTGTGTTTCATTAGTTGTGATCCACCTTAAACAAGCACTGACAGCTTTTGCTGATCACTAGGACCAGAAGTCTACCTAATTTGCATATTCCATGTAGATTCCCAAGAGAATTCACGTGTCACATTTCTTTGTTTCATCCTATTTATGTTGCCAATGTAGTTGATGTCTCTATAATATAGTACAAACCTTATCATAACATTAAAAGATAAGCAATAATTTAATGTACCGACTGCTTTACTATGTTAAAGAATTTGCTTATAAATGTTTTGAAAACTGAACTCAAGAGCTCTGACTGCCTCTGTTTCAACAAATGTAAATTATTTTGATAGAGCAATTCATGTTTATTTTTTTTATACTGCTTTCCCGTGTTCCAAGTACAGTCATCAATTATTGCCAGCATTATCAGTAAAATATATGTGCAAGAGCTCAGATGTTCATATACAACCTTTACTTTCTTTACATAGGATCAAAATTTTGGAAATGTCCTTCCCGAAAAATATATGCTATCTCTCGTCATTCTGAAAGTAAACACAAACGCAAGAATAAAGTGTTYACCGAATCATCAGATTCAGAGCTTGACCAATCGATCATTCCAAAGAAAAGAAGAAGCTTCACACAAGATTTTCAAGTTCTAGCAGATGAAGTAAAATCTTTACAATCCCAAGTGCTAAAGGTATCCAAAGGAATGGAGGAAGTAGTGAATACCATCAAAGACCTCACCGCCATAAGCCAGTCAATGGCAATCCCCCTAAGCATTGTAAAAATCCTGCGTGACACTTTCAGATGCACAATTTGTCTAAAGCAGCCAATGAGACCCCCAATTGTTGCAGCAAAATGCTGCAAYATCCTTTTGGGTTGTGCTGGTTGCGTAAACACATGGTATGGTGGGGCAGATGGGCTTGACAAATGCTGCCCCCACTGTAGGGAGCCAAGAGGGTATGCATCCACRAGCCAGTTTAAGGGCCTYGACGAATTCCTACAAGGCATTCAAGCTATATTCAGTACGTCAGMTGATCAACAYGACAGCAGCCAAGATCAGGATGAATGACTTTACTTAAAGTTCTTTAATGAAAATATTCATATTTCACATGTTCTTGTTAAATTGACTTGGTTATTGGACTAGCAAACTGTTTGAATGATGCTAGTACTGGTAGTATGTCAATGGACTATTTGCTAAAATGGCTGYCATTCATTAGCATAATTTTCATTAAATCAAGATAAAATAAATCAGCGAATACTGGAGAGTAAACTTTACTGAACAGCTCCACAAAAGCCCATTAAGTTCCATTGAAAATCAATGGGTTTGAACAGTCATATGTACTAACAATTTACATTTCTGTGTACTGGTAATTGTTTTTCCATTTAAAAAAATACATATCTGCAGATTTTGTTGAGAGGGCTTTTTGTGAAAAATAGTGCTAAGTTGAGCATAAGAAAAAACAGAATTGGCATTAAATAGTACGAAAAAGTAGTTGATTATATTTTACTCTTCATTATTATACTAAAAGAAGTATACAGCCATGTACTTTATTATTTCAGGCATCATTTTGTGTTAGGTCGAAAAAACAATATTGCTAATCATAAGCAGTGGCCATTTTGACAAAGTGTCTTTGATGCCAATAATTCAGGAGTGTAAGATTCAAGTTAATATGTACCACGAGTTGAGTTTTAAACATAATTGGAATTCCTTTTACCATTATCCCTCAGTAGTATTCAGGTGTTGAAGGCAGTCCAAAATATTATAAAATGAAAACTGTGTGAAAATATTATCTCATACAGACTGATACMCAGAACCATCAAAGGATATTGTGTTGACAATAAGATATCAGTTAGGTTTTTTGTCAGTTGAACACAAAATGAATATGGAGACAAAAGCCAACTTGAAGGTTAATGTATTGCTTTAACTATTTTCTGTATTTTAAAGAACTTAGTTTAATAAAAATGTTGCCTTAAGTTGTTGTTAATCTTTAAATTTTTCTGAAAATGAATCTCTTGGAATGACTTTCAGTGGACGGTGAAAGAGAAATATAGCTAATACAGTAGATGTTGGTGCCAAAAGCTTCTATTTTTTTTCACCAACCAGTTTAAGTTACAATATAGTAATAAAAAAATATGAGCAGTAGAAATTTGGGCAGCATGCGAAGATTCCATTGTGCTTAACTAATGAATCATTAATGAATTTGATTCATGAAAGGTAGAATTCGTGAATTTCCTTCATGACCATACAGCATTCACTATAACGATTTCTTTCCATCAAATTCTGTGATTTCAATTCCTGAGTAATTGCAATGCCAAAAGCCAAGGGTGCATGCAGTATTCATATTTGATGAATTCATTTCAGAAAAGGATTACTTTGTTGGTAAGTTAGAAACAAGAAACTATGAAATAAATAAATGACCAGATCCATGATCTGTGTCATCTGAAAGAGGAAGAACACTATTCAAATACACTCTAGATAGAACACTTGCAGTTTTAAATGAAAACAAAACAAAATATTGTAGTTTCCTTCAGACAAAAAAATGTGTCTTGTCACTCAGATAATAGCCGCTAGTTGTCATCAGATGCAAAGGGGCTATTCAAGAAAGGAAAAACCTCATTTTATACGTAGAAATCAAGACCTTGTCCTATAATTTTTTTCCAATTTTGCCAGGCTGCTAAAAATCTAATAATGTTTTCTCTGATACCATATTTTGTGAATTCACTCTCCTCAATGTCCATTTTTCTAATATGCGTCAACCTACATGTAATGTGCAACAAAAAGAAAAAACTAAGCATAAATTAAAATAGAGTTTATTCTGACCTGCCAATCACAATGACTTATTGAGAGCTGCAAGACTACAGGAGTTCAGCATCGATATTAAAAGTGTTATTGTTGGTACTTTTATGCCAATCAGTTTCCATGCCAACAATAAACAATATATGTTCAACGAAAAAAGCAATTTCCCTCAAATTTTGTTTCCAAAGTAGTACTGCCATAAACAGAATATAAGTAGGCTGTGACACATTGGAAAAAAAATCAAACAAAAGTAGAAGCAAGAAATTTATGGAAAATCTTTTTAACACATCAATATTTTTTTTTTACACCAGCTTATTTCATGGAATAAATTTGAAAATGACAATGTACTAAAAAGGTGTAACTTTCAATTGAACTGTAACATAACTTGCTAGCCCAAATTAAGTTGATTAATAAGTAATGTTATGTAGATACACTTCAACACTAGAAAAATCTAAAATGCCTTTAGCAATTTCTCTCAAAAAAGATCTTTTCCAATAGATGCTAATAGATGTGATGAAAATGCCAGTCCCCGGAACATATTTTAGGTTCCTTCGTATACCAAAGATAGAGTATTTTAATACAGTCATGGTAATTGGGAAGCCCTTCAGCTGTAAATTCGTCTTGACTTGAGTGGCACAGTTGAATGAAGGAAAGTTTGGCTTTTGTCATTTACCGATACAAGTACAGGATTCTTCTAGATACCACTAGAAGTCCTTTAGTGACTTTGATATTGCCAAATTAATTACTCAGAGTATACTACTGAATCACGTTGCAGAAAGGTGGGTGTCCAGGTCAGACTTATCTCATTTATCGAGACTGATTGCAGACAGTCATGAATAATGCTCCCATCTTATGCATGCAGTTATAGCAGACGTGTACCAACCTCATGACATATTTTCATTTAACATCGCTGCCTCTTCCATCTGTACTGTTATATTCAAATGGCCACTTATATAGTAAATCATCTCCTTAACAAAATAATAGTAGAGTATAAGATTTGATTGGCATAAACTGCTTCATAGTAATATTTCCAGATACATGTAATTTAAGCAATGCCCCAAGTAAGAACTAGGGAGCAAACGGCAAAGGAATGCAAGAAGGTTCTAATTGTGCATTGTATAATCCATCCATCTCATTGGTTAAAACATGAAAATCTGCTATAATTTCACAAGTTATCGATTTTTCTAATATTTTATTTAATGTATGCTTTTGCTTTCATGAAAGCTTTCTTTAACTTTTTCTACGTGGGAAGCATCTTTTGGCTATTTGTATTGAGTGCTTATGATTGGATAAGAGCCTTAAATACAAAAGAAACTTTTTGTTCAAAATAGAGTTTATCCACATTTTATTTCAAAAATGTGTTACCCACAGGGTGATACTTAATCAGTGTGAAAATCAATTGTATTTTTCTTCTTTTATAGATGTTTTGTTATCGTATTTTTGTCTTTGCTTTCGTTAAATTCTAATAACGACGCAAATAAAAAAACATCTATAAAAGAAGAGAAAATATCAATCAAATGTGAAATAAATAACTTAAGCTTATGATTAAAAGCTTAAATGAAATTTTCCTATAGAGTGAAAACACTTAAACTTAATCCGTGAAACTTGAATAGTGCGAAATAGTAATAAACTATAAGCTAATTCCTTTGTTTTTAATTGTCTATTCAATACTATTTAGTAGTAATTAGTACTATTTATTTCACGGTTTTAGTACGTTAACTCTACAAAGGTGGCTGCAATATTTTATGTAACTTAAGACTTACCTTAAGCTTAATATATCGAGAGTTGACTGCTCTTAGCGCTTGTTGCTAGTCAAATTCTTTGTTGGCGATCTTGTGTCTATACATGTAGGCACCACGCTAACCAAGTCGACAATTATATATATATACCTCTTTGGAAGAGGTGTATAAGCTTTTAAAAAAACCATCGCAAAGCATAAGAAATTCTGCAGTACCTCAGACATTTTATCCTAAATGGCGGCCTTTAGACCGCTGTTGATGAAATGCAGTCGACAGAACAAACGTTTTGCCTTTCTCTCATCTCCAACGAGGGGAAGTTTTGGTCAATAGTTCCTCGTAATGTCGCGGAAGAAAGAGCCCAGCAAGCGAAACAAAGATGGCCGATCAAACATTGAAAATATTTTAAACCCTTCACGACCTTTCACGACCTTTCACGACCCCTACAGAGTAGATTGGTTGAGCAGTAACGCGATTAAATGAACTTCCCCCTCCCCCGGTTAGTAGGTTGAAGCGACTCGGACTGCGTTCGAATTTGGTCGTACATGATAAATTAAAGAAATTTCCGTTTAAAAAAAATTGTAAAATCAGTTATCAATTTTTTTCAAAATCAAAATTGAAAAATAAAAAAATTACCATTTTTGGTTTTCCACGGAGAAGCAAAAACAAAAAAAGGCAGGCAAAATTTCGATTTTCAATTTTTGTTTTTAATCGAAAATAGAATGGACGGAAGATACACGGACCCTATTGCTAGTATAACATGAGTTTGATTTATGTGTTTTTGTGGTTAACATTTTTATGATATACTATATCATTATTTCCTTAAGTCTGTTAAAAAAAAATATTTTATTTCCTTAAGTCTGTTTTAAAAAAAATATTTGCTTTAACCTAGCATCGGAACCTATGACGASAAACTAAACAACAACCTAAACAAGATCAAGATCAGGATCAAAATTTTAGGTAACAATATCCTAAGTTGCCCCGTTTTATTATTTTAGCTTTGCAAACTAAAATAATAAAACCGCGCATTTCCACAGATGTATCAAAGTATAAAATTAAAATCTATTACCAAAATCACATCTCCAAGGCAAGACCATAAAGCTAAATCAAAATATAAATCAATCAGCTGAATCCAAARATGAATACAAATACAGAGTCAGATAATTACGAGACCCTCGCTTCGCTCTCCCGCCGAGTCTCGTGGATTCTTAACGCTTCCCTCATCCCCTGCTCGCTCTTCGCGCTGCGCTGCCAGGGAAKCTAWATCAGCTTCGCTTTGGATTCGATGAAAAATTCCAAGTGTAGGATATTAGTTCTTGGAAAAATGCGGAACCAAATACTAGGAAATTTTTCWGATTAAAGRCARAATCCAAATKTTTGACCCAGATTTTGTAWCCAGAATKATGCCCCAGAACCGGCCAAACACTACTACTACTTTCAAATATGACCGCTTAAAAAARTGCACGGGCTCACTGGYTTACAACCTTGGCGAATCCATATGCAGGCCTGGTCGCAAATCAATCACCCAGATAGATTACATGCATGTCCGCTCACAATAGGCTATGTTTGAGTAACGACCTAATTCAACAGGTAATCTATGTGCTGAAATCCTTAATTTTGTTACTGCTTGACGGTATTTAGTGTTAACAATCTTATCTAAATAATTTTCAAAACCAAAAGTCTTCTTCATTTTATAAAAGGTTGAAGTAAATGGTCAAAATAAAGTTGATCTACGGGTTTTGAGTGTACCAGAGGTTGTTTGGAAGTGACAAGAATACAAAAAACGAAAAACGATGTGTCTATATGGCCGGTTACCGGTCAAGGTCTTGAAAATGCTAAATGGCCGGCAGGCCATAAAATGTGTTTTTTCCCTCTCTCTTATTATCTAAACGAGCTTCCAAACAAAATAAAACTGTACGAGTAAAATGAGCGTGTTAAAACTTACATAAACGTCGCGCCGAAATTCGTTGCACTTAGAGACATTGTGCGAACTTGTGCCGGCAGCCCATAAAATAACAGATTTCTCTTTTAATATTCTTATTTAAAGAGTTAAAACAACATATTCAACATTTCTGAAACTTTCATGGTACTGTAGAGACATTTTTCTATTCGAGAAAAATCTCAACCAGCAMGGCGGCCTGCCGGTCACGCAACATCAAAATCCTAAATGACCGGCAGCTCATAAAATAACAGATTTSTCTTTTCATGCATCTTTTATTATTCAAATTTAAGAGTTAAAGGATTATTGCCAGTGTCAGTACATTACTCTATCCGAGAAACATCTGCATTCTTTACTAGGATTACAGTTCATGTTCAGAGGGTTATGCTGTGTGGCAGACAGCTCATATCTGTCATATGCAGTGAAATCATTATCCTGATGAAATAAGACTTTAGTATAGGAGAACTATAGCATTGATGTATAATGATAATGTTGTACGATGATAATGTTGTATGATGATAATGTAGTATGATGACTCAAATGGTGTATGATGATAATGTTGTATGATGATAATGTAGTATTATGAAAATGTTGTATGATGAAAATGTTGTATGATATGATAATGGTTGTATGGTAATAATGTTGTATGCTGATAATTTTGTATGATCTTGTATGATAATGTTGTATGATGAATCATACAACATTTTCATCATACAACATTATCATTATACAACATTATCATCATACAACATATATGAATTGTCATCATACAACATTGTCATCATACAACATTATCATCATACAACATTATCATCATACAACATCATCATCATATATCATTTTAAATACAACATTATCATGTGAGCTGTCTGCCAGCCAGCATAACCATCTGAACATGAACTGTAATCCTAGTAAAGAATGCAGATTTTTCGGATAGAGTAATGTACTTACAGTTGGAACTGGCAGTAATCCTTTGACTCTTAAATTTGAATAACAAAAGATGCATGGAAAGAAAAATCTGTTGTTTATGAGTTGCCGGTCATTTAGAATTTCGACGTTGTGTTACCGGCAGTTCGCCGTGTTGGTTGAGATTTTTCTCGAAAAGAATAATGTCTCTACAGTACCATGAAAGTTTCAGAACTGTTCATTATGTTGTTTTAACTCTTTAAATAAGAATAATAAAAGAGAAATCTGTTATTTTATGGGCTGCCGCGGCCATTTTGGATTTCGTTGTTGCGTGGCCGGCAGAAGGTTCAAGTTCGCACAATGTCTCTAAGTGCAACGAATTTTGGCGCGACGTTTATGTAAGTTTTAACACGCTCATTTTAGTCATAGAGTTTTATTTTGGAGTTTGGAAGCTCGTTTAGATAATAAGAGAGGGAAAAAACACATTTTATGGGCTGCCGGCCATTTAGCATTTTCAAGACCTTGACCGGTAACCGGCCATATAGACACAGCGTTTTATTTATGTTAGAATAATATTATTTAGGCAAAAAAAAATTTGTGCGAACGACATATTTTATAAGTTATTGAGCCTGGGTTACCTGTGTTTAGACTGCTGGCGGCACGTACCCATCCCCCTGGGAAATGGTCGCTTAAAAATGCCGGGCTTCGTGACATTAAATCATAGTGTGCAATAATAACCATATTCCCAGAAGATTGCGTTTATGAAAGCATTTTTGATCAACTTCTTCGATTTATCAGATGTACTAGTTTATAGAAACGCAGAATTCCGCATTCTACTTCCCGCCTTGTTTTTGTTAAGTTAAATCTCTCAAATACAATGTTTATCAGCTTTATTGAAAACTACTTGAACAAGCTTTTTAAAAGATTCTAAGAAATACAGTGGTGTTGTTTATTGAGTGCAAGTCATGTTATGATAGAAAAAAGGCAAAACATAACAATTACTGAAACACAATTCATAACAAGAGAAATCAATTAGCAATCAATTGCATTATTTCTTGGCTTCATCTAGATGCTTACGCTAATGTTATCAATGACTATGTTGGCTTTTAGGTGCAGTTCGTTTCCGGTCAACAATGGTCAACAATGGTCGGTTCCAATCTTGGTCGCTTTTATTTCCCAACAAATTCTAGCCCCGTCGACAATAACATCGACGAAGTCGTGTGCAATATCGACGATACCTGCAAACAGGCCTGCACCTTACTTTACCGTATCTCGTTCGAATGCAACGTCTTCTGCAAAAACGATGACGTCTGCAAACTTTCACTCTGCGGCAACGACAGAATCTACAAACACGCTTGCAAACTCTCCTTRTAYGCCRCCGCCCACAACTAARTTTTCGTACAAGGAAACAAACATAACGGCAACGTCGTCGTAGACGTGGATCTTTATCGGAAAAAGAATGTAATATGAGTTACTATACATTGACAAGATTGCTAAAAAGTATTTTTACACTACAAATATTTTTTTCTATTTGTGGCGATGCTAGAATTATTTTTCCACCTTAATTTGTTCGGAGTGTCTAAACGTCAGGCATTCTAATTTTTTCTTATTTTTTCTTGTTATTTCGGTCTTTATTGCATCTCCCTTGTTGTATTAATTGAAATTACTGTTGTTCCGACGATTTTTTAAGAAAAAATTAGACTGCCTGACGTTTAGACACACTCCGTAATTTGTTGCAGGACATTTTTCACAGACATGACAGATATAGAGGATATTACATGGGCGCGCGGAGATACGGATTTTATCTTCGAGTGTTCAAAAGATCTCTCATGAGTGAAAATAACAACTTTACGTGATGCAAATTGGAAACAAAGGAATTTGCATAATTTTGTTTTTATGCAAATTTCTTTGTTTCCAATTGTTTATTTAACAGTATTTAGTAGTAATTTGTATTAATTGTTTTCACAGATTTAATGCGTTCACTCGACCAAGATCGACAAAGTGATATATAGGTATTTCAAAAAAGGTTGTCGGAGTAAAACGAACTTTAATTGCACGACTGAAAGTAGCCGTTACTAATTGATGAAAAATAACAACTGATTTTTACTTCAAGAGTCTGTGAGGGAAATTTGCTCCATATTGTCTACAGCAAGGTGAATCCAACAAGTGAGGAAATTTTGTTTGTCAAAACAGTGTAACCATAGTCCCTTTCGGTCAGGCAATCCCTCGACAACCGCCGTTCGATTCTCGGTCCGACAACGTTTTTTGAAATAGCTGTATCTTAACATGTTACCATGGATGTTCCGTACAAAATTGTCCTATTTCTTGCCTTATAGATATAAATTTGAGTTATATAAGAAAAAAAAACATTACACTGGCACTTGTAGATACGAATTTTATTTTCTCGTATGAATTCCATCTCGCTCACGTGAGATATCAATGCAACACTCCGAATCTCCGTGCACCCCATTTAATATCCTGTATAAAATAAACATCTCACCGTTTTGTTCAGCAGGGTTTTCTTCACTTTCTGCCAAGTCAGTCTCGGGTTCACCTGTTATCAAAACAACATTTTACAACAATTGTACATTTTCTCAATTTCTTATTGGTTGAGAACCGTATTAAGGGATTGCGCAATATTCATCAGGAGAAGGGGAGGGGGGTGTGGAAACAATTGACCATTTATCTATAGAATGCGCAGAAGCTAAAAATTGCTATTTTGAAATATTGAGCTTGGCTAGAGGATTATGAAATAAGGATACCAATTTCAAACATTAAGAATATAAAATTGGGAGTTGGTGGAACCACTGAAAACGGCTTCAATCATTTTACTATACATATATTCATCGTTTAAGCAAACAGCAACGCAAATTACCACTAAGGCCAAATATTTTTAAAATGTATCAAAATACTATGAACTCAATAAGAAGAAAGGTCACCACAAACAAAAACAAAATGAACGACAAAATATGGGATAAGATAATGCATGTTTTATACAATCAATTGTAAACATCCAAACTTTCTAAGACATTTTAGCATTTAGCATTAGACATTTATGACACTTTTGTTCTTTACTTTTTGATTTGCTTATTTGTTTATGAGTTCTACAATARCATTTCTTTTTTCTTTTATAAATGTAAAATGTTGGTATATACTAATCTAGCGGAGATCGTCCCCATCCCATGTTGTCCTCCATAAATGAAGAAAATTATAGATAAATTTATAGATAGTATGTTCAATGAAATAAAAAAAGGTAAAAAATATATGAAATATATATATATATCCATGTTAAGAAGAAAATGAAAATATTGACAAAAAGGAAATTGTCAGGCAAGCTTACTAACATGACAAAATATAGCAAACCTTCGTCACTTTCTGGATCCTCTTGATCTTCGTCAGCTTGATCATCTTCATCGTCATCATTTTGCTCGTTCGGCTCATCTGATGGATAGATAGATAGTTTATTATAAATTGTACATAGCAGTCAACGACTCACGTAAAATTTACAATATAAGGAATTAACAATGATAAATGAATTTACAGATATAATGTCAAATGATTTCCTATAGAATGACATGATATAATACAGCTCGTATTTAATATTATTATGTATTAAAAATTAGTCATATTGTCAACTGTAAAAAAAAAAATCCGATTAGTAAAATAATTGAAACACAAACTATCGTCACAAAGTGGAGTCTTAATGTCAAATGGGCGTTGACTTGTTATCAAGAAAACACTCCTCTAATATCAAAGTTTTGATAACAAAAATTATAGATTGTTTTAGTGAAAGTGTCTTGATGGTTACCTWGAACGGCATCTGGATTTTCTTTCTCTTGCTCAGCTACTGGCTCATCTTGAGTCTCTTCCAGTGGAGCAGCAGAAATGAAGGCAACAAAACCAAAGAGAAACAGCAATGTCAAAGTGAGCTTCATGATTGCAACTCAGTGACTGCACTGATTCTTTAGCTCAACACTTCTTCTTTTTATGTGCTCCGTCGCAAGGTTGAGCTGTGGTCCCTGACCGTTGCTATGGACGTCACGTGGTCAGCCAGCCATTAAGTCACGTTGCCTTAAAGTTGGTTAAGATGAGCAATAAATTGAACCCGAATTGCTTCAATACAGGCATCTATATTTCTAAGCATCTTTCAACCTATTTTTCTTCACTTAAACATCAAATATTAATGTTCATGAGAATTTGCGTGCAGAGAAAGAWTAGATTTACACTAGAGTRGSTCTATTTCTAATTAAAATGCCTGAAAATCCGATGCCAGTCAACCATAAGATCACAATGCAAGACGAATTTGTTTGTTACAAAGTTTGCTCAAATACTCAAATTACTAAGAAGTTTTATAAATGATTTCCATTTGAAAACTGATAAATATCGTATCGCGAGCTCAACGTTTAAAGTTCGTTATAGGATTTTGGGTTTTGCTGCGCTCGAATTATTGGACTATTTAAAGTATCGCTGAAACTTGTATATAAGAATCTGAATGAAAGTGCCTTATGTTTTTTTCTTTTTAACCACAGAAAAATATCTAGACAAWTCCAGAAAACGTAAATCAAAACTTTTACGTCGCAATGGAAAGTTCTTGGCCGAATCAACAATCAACCCCTGCTGTGCCATATAACCAATATCACCCTCATCAACATTATSAAAATACCCGACTTCAGTGAAAAAATAATATATTTACCATCAAATTCGCCAAAATAGTTGATTTCCAAATTTTTAAGAAGGCATGTCTTATAAGAGAAATATAATTTTCTAAAGATTCCTTTGCATATCTGTTTAATTATTGTTGAATTGATTCTGTCTTAATCATTGCATAATACAAGAATCCTGCATTGTTACGAAGAAAGCGCAAAAGTTTAGACTAAGGGAAATATATACACTTTATATCAAAAATCAATATAAAAAACACCAATTTTGCAGTACAAAACTAAACGGCTTATGAATGAGGCTGSGCGTGCATACCTGGCACGTTTAATTTCTTGAAAAATCAAAATAAAATAAAATTTATATCTTAATCAGTTTATAAAGCTGTCTCTTTGAAACTTAGGAATACAATCATTTTTTACTTATTTCAAGTGTTTTGTCTAAGCTTGAAATTGGTTTCTACCTACAACTGTAGACTATTTATCTGGTTAATCAAATTTCAATTTAAGGTTAATAGTAAAGGTTGTTGATAAGAGGCACTGAGATGTCAATCATGGATTGACGTCAACGATGGACACCCGCAGGTCAGTCCACCATTCACACAAAATATTGTCGTCAATCRTATCACAGTTATCAAAAAAGATGAAATTACGCTAAAATTATCAAAACACCCGAACAATGGAAGAATGACAAACGAGCAGTTGTTTTAGGGGTTTTTCACACGACCTTGAGGTCTAGGAGTAGCTCTTATGTTATTTTTTCCCGGAGAGTTTGAAACAAAGGATTTTAGCCCATCTACCTTAGGGCATCGCATCTCATGTCAACAGCCCTTTTCCAGCCAATATATCCAAAACAATGATTACCATATCGATCTAAGCCCAAACTATCATCAAAATAAAAACGTTGCTAGAAACTAGAATAAAAGAAATGTTCCAAACTACATGAAATATTGTACGGTTTAAAACTAGAGTGAACGCGCCAGTTTTATCCGAAAAACTTTTACTACTAATTCCTTGTGTACGAATTTGCGCAATTTGGTGAATGTTATTGACAAAGAATCATTGTTATAAAGAATGTTCCAGCTCAGTAATACAACTTTCTATTATTTAATTTTTACACTCTAAATATGTTTTTTTATATTTCACGAAATATTGCAAGCGATATTACAAGTAAAGTAGAGAACAAAATCTAGATTGAAGTCATTAAAAAACAAAACATTGACCAGTATATGTGTGATGGTCAATTACACACAAAAGAAAACAATGCAATTGGAGCGCTCTAAGGTGTATTGGTGTAATATTTATTTCAAAGGGTTAATAACGTCACTCTAAAGAGTGTGCAACATAGGTATCACAAACTGATACTGCTAGATTTAATATCATGTTTTTGTTGTTGCTTTGAAAGAACTTTGATTATAATTTACTTGAAACCTTTTCTTAATTTAAGTTTACACAGCGGGTGTCCTCTGCTCGTCGTGTGGGTGGCTACCATTAAGCGTGTGAAAGTGAAAATCAAGTTGTTTTTTAGCTCATTTGGGTCGAAACATTCGTCGTTTTTCTCAATAAACGAAAGCACACTTTTGTAGACAACTTTACCAATTCTCTTCAATCTAAAGCTGACACCTTTATCTTTTGAAAAATAAAACTTTCAAGAAAATTAACTTGAAACCGTATTCTTTTTAAATTTTCGCGGAAGGTGAAATAGTCATTACAATGAATGAACAAAGCTCTTTGATAGCGCAAGACCGTCGTCAAGGAAAATATATCAAAACTACGTCAACAACTCTTTCATCCATTTTACCGTCCGACGGAATATTATTACTCTGAAATTGTGTGCTGAAAATGAGTGATATTTTYAATTATTTTAAACATCGCATTTTTGTTTTGCGTGTTTTTTGATACGCTGATTAGATAGCAAACAAATATTAAGCATGGCAACCATCTGTTATTCTATTTATTAGGAACTGAGCAATATTCATCAGGGCAAGTTTTCTAAAATCTACAATTGTAGGTATTGCATGAATCATTATTAAACCTAATAATCCGTGGGCTGGTTTGTTCAAAACCCGACTAGCGATCTAACTTCATTGTGTTTAAGAGTCAACCACTTAAGGTTAATTGAGCTTTGAACAACACGGCCCTTGATGTCGATTTGAATGGTTTCCCATGTTGAGGGTGTTCACTTGTGCTTGACGAAAGACAGCTATTATCTCGCTCGTGATGCGTGGAATTTACAAACTTTTGGTTAAAATGCTCGCTACCTCTTCAATTCATAAAGGAACTTTCCTATCAGTGACTGTCCGATCGCTACCTCTTCTTAAAAGTAAGAAGAGTAGCCATTAATGAAGAATAACGGTCGAACGGTTAATTGAATATTATTTACCTTATTTTAATATTAAAGCTATAT